AAGGATTGTACGGCGGATTGTACTGGACTTGAGCCGTAGACTCGTTTTCATGTGATCGCAATTGAGTTAATAGTTGTCATAGTTCTATGCGCGCGCAATGTCGTCACAGAGGCAAGAGATGGAGAAAGAATTTCCGAAGTCATCCCAGGAAGCTCTTTACTTAAAGTGAGAAGACGAAAGCACAGAGATGTATCACTTTCCCAAGTCATTCGAAGACGAACACAGGAAAGAAAGAAAACGGGCACGAAGACGCCGTCGCAAAGAAATGATGCTAAAGCCATGTAAGAAAGAACAGACTCATCCAGCAACATTTCCCGTCCTTGTAGAGCGGTCCAAGGCCAGCCCTTCTTCAAGGCACAGAGCAAGGATATACTTTTCCCCAGATTTTTCGTCCGCTCACGGCGCTTATGAATCGGCAGACAATAGCGACAATGAGGAGTACCACGGTACGAGAGCCAAGCTGCCAGCGCCAAACTTAGTTGGTGAATGTTCGCACCAGACGAGGACGAGAAAGAAGAAGAAAGCAACTAAAGTCGAGGAAGAACTCGGTCACTCCATATACCCATCGTATTTGGAAAGACCACCCTCCAGGAATGGGGTTAATTTTGCGCATGCGTTGGATACGCCTAACAGAAGTATGGATCCACTTTCCGCCCGAAAAAGCATGGAAAGCATGATGGGTACAGATCGGCCTGATATCAAAATCCGTTTTCAGAAACCGAACAAACTTCCTCCGATCGACAAGGAAAACAGATTCGTCCCTGATGACTATCCCTTCACGAGGAAACGTTATTAAATATGGTTGTTTTGAACTACTGCTCAGTTAAAATTGACATTGATCTTTTCTTGAATTATTATAACCAGTGATTGTATATCAGATTAAAAAAAAAAACATGATATAGTTTACTCCAGTGTTGTAAGCTTTATGCCAATTTTTTTCATTATTTCAATCCTATTGAAAGTTGCTAAAACAGTGCATTAAATCGATCATTATAATTGCTTCTTTGTTTTTGCTGTAGGTTAGTTTCTATAGAAACCGTGACCCAACTAACTGTAAAATAACTTGAATACAAAAGTAAAACTTTAGCTCTTCGACGGACACTGCTCCGAAACACTGAGGACTAACTCATTTTGCTTCCGATAAAGGGCTAATCGAAAGTCACTACGGAACTCATTTACCTGTATTAAATTCGCTCTTAGCCTGCGAAAACAGCCTTCCTTCTTCGCTCCTGCCGAACGGGGAAACGGGAACGGGGAAAACAGACCGAGACAAAGCTCAAGGGAAAGGGGAAATAGGTACTGATAGAAGACTCTCCCCCGCGAGTCTAGCTCCCATTGTTTCTTTCTCTCCGTACGATTTTTTCTTTCGTTTAATCGGAGAACTCTTTGGAGAAAGTGTTGGACATTACTGAATTATATCATTGTTTTGGAAGTCGTTTTAGATAAGACTACGAGCAGAACCTTATACGCTTAGTCCGTCGGGCGTGACGCGAAAGAAAACCGCGAGAAAAAAATAGTCGCGCGAAATCCTGCAAACCCTTTCGCGCGCTTTGGTTCTCACCCCCAGGATTTCGCCAGGTAATTTTTTTTCCTCGCGGTTTATTTACGGTTATGCTCGACGGACTAAACGAAGGAGTGACTACTCGCAGTCTATTTTCTAGATGATTGATCATGAGACGATTATTTTAATTTTTTTACTGATCTCGACAGCAGTGCTTGGTTGACTGAGTAAAATGGTAAAAGTAAGTAAAAGAAATAAACTATTAAAACCTATTTCAACAATGTTTACATAATGGCTCCCTCCTGGATTTCAACGTCAATATCGGTATATTACAAGGTAAAAGTAAATAAAAGACTTGGTTGACTGAGTTCTATCAATACACAAGCTAAGCAAGATATACTAGCTGTCGATAGGCGAGAAACGAAAACTTAGAAACCTATCACTTCTTTTCAGTCTTGCTATCTTTAACACTGACAACTTTAAGTTGCCAACTGTGGTCCACAGTTAGGTACTGCTCAAAAAGTATACGGAGGAGGAGGGGGGGGGNCATCAGTTTTTGAGCCCTTGGTAAGGGGTGGGTCGTTCAATTTTCAGATACATGTGGGGGTGGGTCACATTTGACACATTCGAGGTACCTCCTTTCAGTTCCAAAGGAAGAAAACGTTTCGAGCCGTGGTTGAAACAGGACACTTGGCTGGTGTACGATAGAGATGACAATTTATGCATTGTAAAAACTGTACAAAGCTAAATCTAAATGATTGAACAAGGAGTCCCAGGGCAGAAATATTCAAAATACTGGGTTCTGTCGACATGCTGGTCTTCAAGAACACCAAATGGCCAACTCGTGTCTACATACTATTTGTCCCCAAGGGTACGGGACACATGTTCATAGATCTGGGACTCGTAGTTTTCTGGCTGTTACTCCCAGTCCTCACTACAGCTGCTTTCTAGATGGATCACTGTTCCACGTGTTGCGAGCTGGAGGCCTAGTGTTAAAGGGTAAAGGTCAAGTTTTCTTAAAGTTTACAGACATGACTTAAAGTTGCAAGAGTAAAGGAAAACAATACTATTTTTAGATGATTTTGTATTATTACTATTATTAAGAAATAAACTTAAAACGTAAATAATACCACAATTTCATATACACAAAATGTGATTTTGTTGGATTATGCCACCAAAAATGACATGTTACATAGGGGGTGGGTCATGTGATTTTCAACCTTCATTTACGGCTTGGTCAGTCAGTTTTGTGCCAAATAGAAGGGGTGGGTCATGTGCTTTCTAACCACCACATTTTCAAATGCTCCGGCCCAACCCCCCTATACTTTTTGACCAGTCCCTAAATAGTTTGAATTCAGTGTACGCCTTAATCCTATCTGTAGGCCCTGCTGATACGATTAAAGCGTACACTGTATTCACTAATAAGGCTAATGACAAGGCTCTTATTCGCGGAAGGGCACTTATGAAAGCGTGGGCGTTTAATCGAGGATATACGATAACTTACATAACACTCAAAATTCCCAGCTTACGACAACACCAAAGGGAAAACAAGTCTTGTCAGGCAGGGTCAGTACTGGAATGGGTGAACGCTTGGAAAACCCCGTGTTATAATTAGCCTTTTCTTTTTCCTCCACGGTAAGCACGCTTGTATTACGAACACTTGCATTACGAACACTTGTATTACAGATAGTTTACTTCGTCACAGAGAAACCAGAATTCATATACAATCGGTACATCGCTCCGTTCTGCGCCTGTTGTGTCCGTTAAGTAGCTTGTCACGGTATTTTCAGTCATTTTGGCCACGTACAAAATTACCATTAAATTGAAAGAAACGTGAAAATAGTAGTTTACGAAGAAAGAAAAACACCAAAGAGATAATAATAAACCACAAATGAATAGGGATGATAAATAATAAAGAAGATTAACACGGATTACAAACGACAAAATTTAGGGTAAACTTTACAAGATGGGCAAACCGTTATGTAGCTCGTTTAATAAGAGGCCCGACGACAACATTACCATCCTAAATCCAAAGAGCAATTTCACAGCTGGGACATTTTTAAATAAGAAACCTGTTCGGACCAGTTTCAGGTTAGACCAAAATTAAGATAAGAGTATACAAAACTAGTGATGCACGCTACGTACGTAAGACTGTTACTATGGATTAAAACCACTAGCTGATTAGTAACAAGTGGTGGTTCGTTCTAAACCGGTATCTTTATTTCAAATGCGTCAAGAAAAGTCCACTTCGGACGAGGATTCGTAGCAAGCTTCTAGAACCTGACGCCTTTCTGCTCCATCTAAAGGAGAAATAATATCATGATGCAATTCAGTGTTGTTAATACAAAGACAGTTTTACTTTGTAGCGTAATGAACGTAGTCCTGTCCCACTGCTATTTTCTCTTTTGACTGCCCTTCCGGCGCTAAGATAGTGAAGGTCTTGTCGCCCCCCGCCCCCATCCCACCTTTCCCCACCCCCCTCTCTCTACGTGAAAAAGGCGGGTGTGACTGGACTCTAGTTTCTTCGATTTTAATTTAGACCACAGGAACTTAATCTATTGATTACAGAGTAGAGGAAATTGAGTTATCGACATCATTCTGTCGCATGCATTTGAGAGAGAGTGCTTGCGCTAAATGCAGTGACTTCACTCTCCCGAAATGTGTCTACTGTCGTACCTTTATTTTCAGCCATTTCAAAGCAATAAGGACCTGCACAAAACATTAAAAAGAAAAAGTACATTACCGAAGAATTCGCCGGACATCTTAAAACATTTTGTACCTGCACGGATGACTTTTTGAGGAACTGTGACGTTTGTTTAAAACGAACGAAGAATATTACATAGTATCGTCAAGAGATTAAGATGTGAATCATACTCTCTTAGTATCGTGAAATCGGTAATTAAAGGCCTTGGCTAGGCTAACACGACATAAAAAATTTATGATATGGAAAAAGAGCATTTTTCTTGCGGGACACAACGGGTAATCCCGAGCGGGCAAGATAGCTTCATCTTACCCACTCGGGTGGCCAATCACAGCGCAGCTGGATTCAGTTAATCTTACCCGCTCACGGAGCTAGCCACGTAACACTGTTTTGCGCGCGAAATTGGACTCTATTTTTAAGTTTCAATGTGTGTGCACCGCCTAGAGGGTTCTGAATAGGGGTGGTGGAATCTCAGTTATCAATTGAATTTTTGGCTTCCTATTTTGATTGTTTTTTATTTCACTTTCTGTAAACGTGCTAATTGGCATGGGTTAATACTCAGAAAAAACATTTCTGATACCAGTAAGTTACAGAAATTATTACTCACTTGAGGGACATTTTGTTTTTCATACAGGTCAACAGTAACAAACCCGTATTCCTTCTGAACACCGTAAGCGGTTACAAAATTACTAAACCAACCAATGTTTTCCATCTGCGAAGAGAATTAAAACAGCAGTTAATATCTAAGAAGCAAAAGGAACATTTTCGATGTTTCTATTGAGCTAAGAAGTTTGGGAGAACGAGAAATGGCATGGGAACACGAGCTGAAGGCGAGTGTTTCTACAGCTTTTTCAAGTTCCCTCAAACTTTTACGAGTCTTTCTTTAACTCGATAGAAACGGAGAAAATGTTTCCTAATTCTTTCAGAAAACACTTCAAGGAAAAGAACAGAAAATTATTCGTTTGTTTTGATCATCAAAATGTAGATTCTCCTCCCACTTGAAATGCTTAAGTCTGACAGCTGCCGTTAGTCTTGTGTCCCTATAAGAATTACTGTATAAAATATGGCTTTTAACACGGACTTTCTTACAAGCTGTGTTCTAAAAGTAATTAGATTAAGATCATTTTTGAGATCTTTAAGCCTTGCTTTATTATGCTGACGACTTCTAACCAGAACAAGTAGCGCGGTTTATGGCAGGCACTCCACAGACGATCTGACTGTGTGCACGTGTCATGACGCGTTCACTGAGGTCCTGGCCAAATCATAGGGCTTTGTTACGTCCCTCTTACTCGCAAACGCTTTTATCAAAATGTAAATTACGGCTAACAGCAGGGCCGCATCAAACGGCTACAATGAGAAACTTAGTTGGTTTCCCATCCCCAGTGGAGGTGGTTCGCTCGGGTTGACGAGAAATCTTTGGTGGTGAGAGTTTTTTTTTTATTTTACTCCACGTTACTTCACATCTTATTTTCATTTGCGAAACGTACCTTCATAAATGGCATATTCATTTTGTTGATTTTCTTTATCGAACCAGGTTGGATCATGTTTGCTAGACTGGAAAAATCGAGAAAATTGGAAATTAACTGCATCAAACAAGCAATATAGAACTGGCTTTCCTGTTGGGGCCCACCTGTCTTCTGTGTGTGCGGTCAAGACTGAAAACTGGACTCAGAAATAGTTGGAAGGGTTAGGTATATTACCAACCAATGCCCGGGAAAAGCGGAACCCGCGCTCCTTCTCCGGATTCGGGAGAGCGGTGAAAATCGACCCTTTAGGAGAGGGCACTCTGGTTTTGGCCACAGTTCCTCTAGTCCTGATTCTGACTCAATAGAGGGAAATGCAGAGACAGAATCCAAATGCGTCACTGTCACCTTTCTAAAAACCTAGCCCTCTTTAGTATAAAAAATTCACCGAATCGAAGTCTTAGCCGTAAACAATGACCTTAATTTAAAAATAATGAATTACATTTATTTCTATAGCGCTAAAATTATAAAAATATTTTCTTGGGCATGAATTTTTTCTCATCTTAATAAGCTGCGCGGGATTTTTTTTTTCGGCGGGCAAATAGCTTGTGCAAGACCTTTTTTAACATCATAAAACAGGGCCCGTATAATAGAAAGCACTTGTTCGATTTTTTTTCCTCATGGATTTCCTTGCACGATTTTGTTTTTCAACAGTTTTTGCTGTGCAGGAATTTTTTTGGTAATTTCTCAACCTCCCCCACCCCCACTCTTCAAAAAAATAATGGTCCTTCCCTTAGTGCTATGGACTCATGATCGAGCGGTCCTGGGACCGGTGTCATTGTGTTGTGTTCTTGGTCAAGAAATTTTTTCTCTCACAATGCCTCTCTTCGCCCAGGTGTATAACACTGGGCACACTGCAATGGACTAACATCCAGTCCAGGGGGAGTAGAAATATTCCCATTTGCTTAAAAAAAAAAAAAGAGGAGAAAAGCTGCGGCCAGATGGGCCTGAAAGCTCGAAAGTGGATTTTCTTACTTCCTAGCATGTTACTACTTATTAAGCTCTGAACAAGCAGATTCTAAATTGCTCTACTCAAGTATTATCAACCCCAGCAGAGATTTACTTTAATGAATAAATATACGCTAGATCAGAATTTGATCAGACAGTACTTGCAAAGTATTTGACCGTCATTCAACGCTTCAGCAAATTCTGTAGGGTCTTCTGAGGGAACAGTGGCACCAGTTGCCTCCTTAATCCACGCACAGATTTCCTTCGCCAATTCTTTATCCCATTTTGAGGCCATCTAACGAAATAAAAATATCTTCATAAGCTATGAGTCTATTGGCCAACTCCTAGAAATCGTATGCAAGTGAAAAGTGGACGAGTAACGAGATTACACGCTTTGGGGGAGGAGAGGGTCAGGACAGACGCGATTAATTTATGTTTATACATGCTGACTACAGACTTGCGTTTGGTTCAGAAATTTGAATTTTATCGCAGTGACACGCCACGGCAGTCATAAATATTTTATTTAAAGAGGTAGCATCTTTTTTATCATTATTATTTCAAAAATTACTCCTCCTAATACATTTCTGGAACGTTGAATATTTTTTTAAGTTTGAGATCTGGTGAACTGGTTGCAGTTGAAAACTAGAGAAAACGGCAAGTTAAAAATTACTTTTTGTTGAGCGACTTATTATTAGCGACCAAAATATTTTCACCTGCCCATCGACACAGACGAAACAATTTCCTTGAACTCAGTTGAAGCTTTAAAAGCCCAGTTATAGTCGCTTTACAAAGAAGCTGTATTCTAATGCTTTCTAACGCAAAAAAATTAACTTCAGGCCTATAGATTCTCTAAATTATTCGAGCTGACTATTCGTTGCCAGGGGTCATAGTTCTCTGTATGGCAGGAATTCCACCTTGTTTATAGCGCTAGACAGCTCTTAACAGACTGTACAAATTCCTTTAGTACGTGTTTAATTCAGTCAGCCTTACTCGGTTAGGTTTCTTCAATGAACTATTCAATTAACTCATAGAGAAAGATAAAACTATACCTCGCTCAAGCGGTTGCTCTTTGAGGATTGCTGTAGTAAACGTGGTACTTGAATCAAGAAGTCAGACAAACACAAGCGAAGGCTCGTACGTATCGTATTAGGCGATTTGCATGATGGCGTCATGTGACTACAAGTTCCAGAATCCTTTACGATTTCTTTTTCTCATGCTAATTTGCGCAATTGTCATTTTAATAAATCCCCGTGTGGTTTAAAATTTTGAATAACAAAGGAAAAACGAAATGAATTATGGTAGTTGTAGTCAAATGACGACATCGTGCAAGTGTGTTATTATCATAAGAAAAGAACAGGTGAAAGGTTTACACATACAGCAACAGGTCGTACAATGGCAACCTTAAACGAACCCCCGGGACGATTCTAAAACTATTTGATTTGGTTTGTTTCGCGTTTTGCCTGTAAAAAACCTGAGCTTTGTGATTTTCGTGCTGCCTTTGCGTTCAAAAACACCAACATTTTTTTAATTTCTTCGTGTGCAAAGATTAAGAACAAGATGTACAATTTACACCCCTAAGAATGGCGAACAATTTCACAGAAGTGTCTTCCCTCGGGCTGCGCGGACAAATGGGCCGGATGGAGTTCGTCTCTCGCCCCTCGCGGAACGTGTCCCTCGCACAGATCCCCACGCAAAGGAGCCTGTCCCCTACCCTATGTCCCGGAGGGTTTTTTCGCGTGATCTGTGAGTGGGGAATTCAAGAAGAGGTCCAGTTCCAGCGTCTTACGTTTCTCGAGTAAATAGCAGCGGCGGGGGGGGGGGGGGGGGGGGGGCTCT